CTCCTCCCACTGACATGCAGCGCCCCCACCGCTGAAAACGCACGGGCCTGCCCTCCTCCCACTGACATGCAGCGCCCCCACCGCCGAAAACGCACCGGCCTGGCCTCCTCCGCCGGACACGCCGCGCCCCCACCGCCGAAAACGCACAGCCTCAGGGCCTCCAAAGGAGGACACCAAAGGTCTCCTGGGTTCCACATCTGGTGACAGCCCAGGGTCTCTGGTGTTGGGCGTTCCCGCCGCTTCTGTCCTCAGCACGTCGCTGTTCTACAACCTATGGATTTAATGTGAAGGGAAGCACCAACGACACGTCCGATACACAGTCACCGTGGAAACAAACGGGTGGGAGAAAGGTGAGTTCCGTTCTGGTGAAGTTTAGACACAGCACAACGAAAGCAGAAACTTTGCCAGAAGCTCCAGATGTCTCACATCTGCAGCTGGTCATGAAACCGTGGGGTGTGTTCATGGCTCACATACTTCACACCCGTGTTTTCTCATCCAGGCAGCCCAGTTCTCCACTCCTGCAGGGTCTGAGTCCTGAACCTTGTTGCTGTGATTGTCCACCGATTTCATCCCTCGATTTGGGAGAACGGGGGAAGACCTGGGGGCCACCTAGGCCTGCCCATGTTCAGTAGTAACCTCTCTGCTTCCTCTTGTAAGGACCACCCTAGCTGTTCCCAAGGGCCCCTTAACCCACATGGCATCCACAGTCTTCAGCTCCATCATTCCATGACTTATTCTCTGACCAAAGCACTCCTCTGTTAGTTACTAAAATCTCCAAACCAGGCCAGGCACGGTGGGCTCACACCTGTAATGCCAACACTTTGGGAGGCCGAGGCAGGAGATGCTTGAAGCCAGGAGTTTGAGACCAGCCTGGGCTTGTTTCTACAACAACAAAAAGGAAATATTAGCCAGGCATGGTGGCACACACCGGTGGTCCCAGCTACTCAGGGGGCTGAGGTGGGAGGATCTCTTGAGCCCAGGAGGTCCAGGCTGCAGTGAGCCATGATCACAGCACTGCACTCCAGCCTGAGTGACAGAGTGAGACCCTGTCCAAAATATAGACAAATAGGCCAGGGGCAGTGGCTCACACCTGTAATCCTAGCATTTTGGGAGGCCGAGGCAGGCGGATCTCTTGCGGTCAGGAGTTTGAAACCAGCCTGGCCAACATAGTGCAACCCCATCTCTACTAAAAATACAAAAAAATTAGCCAGGCATGGTGACGAGTGCCTGTAATCCCAGCTACTCAGCAGGCTGAGGCAGGAGAATCACTTGAACCTGGGAGGCAGAGGTTGCAGTGAGCCGAGATCATGCCATTGAACCCCGGCCTGGGCGACAAGAGCAAAACTCCATCTCAAAAATAAGTAAATAAATAATAAAAATAAATAAATAAAGTACACAAAAATTAGCTGTGCTTGGTGGTGGGGGCCTGTAATCCCAGCTACTCAGGAAGCTGAGGCAGGAGAATCACTTGAACCCAGGAGGTGGAGGGTGTGGTGAGCCAAGATTGTGCCACAGCACTCCAGCCTGGGTAACAGAGCAAGACTTCACCTAAAAAAATATATATATATGTGTGTGTGTGCGTGTGTGTGTGTACATATATATACATAACTAACTAAATAAATAATAATAAAACAAATGTCCAAACCAGAAGAGTAAGGGCTAACAGGGCCCAGAGGCAAACCTTTTGTGAATGTTCTAACCATAAGTGCTGCCCTCACTCTCACCCCTAGGCCCCCAGCCTGTGGATTCTGGTTTGGGGGAACGGCACCATTCATGAGGGACCAGGACCATATGCTATAGGACCTCGCTGCAGTCTTGAGGTGGTATCTCCTAGCTGAGCTCCTACGTAATCCTGAGTGGTCCTGAGAAGCCAGATCACCATCCCGCAGGGGCGGGTCCTGTGGAGGGACAGGGTACATGGAACCCTGGTGAATCCCATGGTGTCTTCCCACTACCGTGTCCTTCGGCTGTAAAGGCAATGCCTTGGCTAGAAACAGCAGTGCATGCAGGAGCAGGCGGTAGGCTGGGAAGGAAAGCACCAGTGCTAGCGGAGGGCAGTAGGTCCAGATCAAGAATCATCTTTCCCATCATCTCATAGTCACACAGTCCAGGGACGAAGACAGAACAGTAAGCGAGGAGAGGGGAACAGGATCATTTAAGACCACAGCTGGAAGATGTCCCTGAATGTTCGCACAATTTGTTCAAGGTTCTAAGTCCCGAGTGGGACACCAAGTTGGCCCAGCCTAGGCTGAGGCCCTAATGTAGCTTAGCTAATAAGAGAGAAGGAATGTTGGGGCCCTTCTAACCTCCATAGGGGGGTGTGGGACCCCCATGAAGTGGAAATAGTGCCAGTGGGGGAGCATCAAGGACCAGGGCCATATCCTATAGGACTTCACTGCAGTCTTGCGGTGGCATCTCCCAGCTGTGCTCCTAAATGATCCTGTTCTCCCTCTGCACTAAATGTCCTGCCTTCATCCCTGGGAAAAGCCAGACCCTCTCCATGAAGGAAGGTGTCCAAAGGCAGTCAGCCCATGGCCAGGTGGCTGATCGGTCTCCCATGAGCTGTGGTTCCCTTCTGCAGGGCGGGACGGCACACTACTGACCTTGATCGGGCATCGGCTGCAGTGCAGGGGTGTCTGGAAGAGCTTGGTAAACTGAGTCCCTGTGGCTGGGCCACGGCGGCTCCCCTCCCCTCCATGTCTGCCTCAGGGCAGCACCAGCTCCCTTAGGGCAGAGGCTGCCTGTCTGCCATAGGTTCCAAGAACCTTATTAGAGCTCAGTACCCAATGCACTTCATGTCTGCCTCAGGGCAGCACCAGCTCCCTTAGTGCTGTCTGCCGTAGGTTCCAAGAACCTTACTAGAGCTCAGTACCCAATGCACTTCATGTCTGCCTCAGGGCAGCACCAGCTCCCTTAGTGCTGTCTGCCGTAGGTTCCAAGAACCTTACTAGAGCTCAGTACCCAATGCACTTGACAGTAGACAATGCCCAGTCGTTCCAGCTGCAGGACTCAGCA